TTGAGTCAATTTTTTTTTCAAGTCAAGTCTCAAGTCAAATTTTGTACATGAAAACAATGTACATCAAAAGGGAAGTGACACACATTGCCATAATTTCTCCAGTATGCAGCCTGTGGGCTCTATGGAACGACCGCTCTCAAACAACGAATGGTAATCAGACTATGCAGTGCACCTCACAGATCACAAGCACGAATGTACAGCATGCGTACATTGTACTGTACATACTGTACAAATAAAGTCCGAAATCTGAGCTTAAGTTGGCGCACTTGTGCAGTTGCAGTGCCGTAACAATAGAAAATGGGAAATGGGTTACGGCTGCCGTAACAACAGCCACTGCATTAGGAATATATTCATCATTTTGATTTTTGGGGGGCAGTGACACATGAGTGAGTGGCATTGGGACATGCGGGCAGTGGAATCTACGTGGTCGGACATCCAGTAACTTCTGTACATCACTGAATAGCACGAAGGAAAAATCTGCCCCTTTGCAGCGTGTTAAAAGTGCACCGTGAAGTCACGCCGACCGCAAGAATGGCTTTATGTAATTTCATTGCGTAATCAGTCCCATGCCAAGAAAGCACACTCATCTGGCTTTTGAATGAACAATATCTACCGTAGGTAAGTCTGCGGTAAAATATTTTGTCATACCTATAATTATATCCAGTAAATTTCTTGGATTCCCGTAAGATTTGGCGGTAAAGTTTCAAGACAGTTGATCGAGTTGCACTCGCCATGGTGGCTGCCATCTTGAACGGCGCCCTCTTCTGGTGAATAAATTCATACCAATAATTAGCTCTCGGGCAGGACTACGCGCTCATCTCACCTGCTACGCCAGCAAGAATATCGTGGCGATTACCCAGGGCCGGCCGCCAGCGAGAATCCCAGGGCCCCGGTGAGAACAACTTACTGATAATTGATGGAGCTACCCTGGTAAAATGAGAAAGAAAAAAAAAAGACAGAAAAAAAACATAACGAGCGCGATTCCCAGATTGGGTAGCAGCGACCTCGGAGTCAAATGAAAAAAACAAAAAACAAAACCAAAAAGTTCAAGGGTTAGGAGGACCAAAGGTAAAAGAGACAAAAAAGATAATATCTGTTTGTCAAGTTCAAAGTGACGTGAACCACATACTTGAGACTATCCTCATATATCCCTTAGTTCATCTCCTGGACCCTGGACTGCTCATTGGAATTGTTTTCGGAATACATGGACATGTATTCATCACCGCTTTTAGCGCAAGAAACTTCTGGTGTTACCCCCGCCACAAGGGAGGATTTTAAAAAGCTACTTTCATAAATACCCGCAGCTGCATTGTTCGCAGCGTCACTAGTGACAAATTAACAAGGAAGAGATTATGCAATGAGGTGGTTGAAAGTCACAGTATAAGATCCGACTGAACAGTCTTTGATAAACGAAGCACGCCCTATACAGTGATGGACTTGAGAGTGTAGCAGGCATTGCTCAATAAGTTCCTTCATCCCCGTCCTAAAACTAATTGCAACATTATGTTAGGCTTGGCGACATTACTACAATACTGGACCTTGACGAAGAAAAAGTTTCTTGGGCATAAACTAATTTGGAACATACCTTGCCTGCAAGTTAAAAAGAAAGTTTACTTAAAGTCAGCACAGTGGAAATATAAATCGTTTCCATGAAAGGAAGGGAAAAGCCGCTTATCATGAATAAATTTATCATCTTGAAACAGGCATACCTTCACACACATGCAAGCTCAATGCTATTTGCCCATTTATTCAGCTATATTTTGCCAGGTGATGAATCTTGGGAAGAAAAATTATGATATCGCTTCTTGACCTTTACATAACCTAAAGTCAACATTTTAGATGCATAAATATAATTTTTTCAGAGTGTTCTGTTAGCCACATTCATCATTAAAAATGGGGCAAAACTGAATTTGTTATTTGAGGAAAAAAACACTTGGAAAGACTATGAATTGTAATCCCATGCTGGATATACCATGTTGGAAATCCTACACAAATTGTAAAGTTAAGCATCATGCAACCTTACATCATCATTACATCCAAATTTTATGCCAACCACATATAGAAATTACATGTAGCTTATTTTATGTTGAAACAAGTCCTCATGCAATGTTCTGAACTAAACTGCAAGTATTTATTGGAGACATATTCATGGCAAGATGGATGTCATCAGACTAATGTAAATCTTTTTAAAAAGAGATAATTATCTTTATACCAAGCCAAAGTTCCCAAATAAGACTTTTGCAAGTTAAAGTAAGATAAAATCTGGTACACTGAGTTATCTGATTGCACATAAACGTAACAATTTGAATTCCCCAGACTAAAGACACTGTTGCTCTACCTTGTGATTCGGAGCAAGCTTTCGCATAGCGACCACCATCTCTGGAATTGACTGGTTCCTTTGTGCCCTTCTTATCCATTGAAAACAGTGTATTGAGGCAAGGCGTTTCATATGTAACTAAGGAAAAGCTTGCCCTGAATCACGAGGTATAGCAGCAGTGTCTTCAGAGTGGAGAATTCTAATTGTTGTCGTCAAGTGAGTTTAAAGAACTTGGTATACCAGATTTTGTTCAAATTTAACTCGCAAAAGGCTTATTGCAATTAATGTTCAGTTTGTTTTGCAGGTTGCAACTGCTCAATACATTAATGAATAATGCACATATAAGACACTTTTTTACATTTTAATAGCCACACTTACACTGTAAATTTGGTATTGTTGATAAAATTAATTGCTGAACAAGAGCAAAAATAAGTACAAAATAAGTTCACTCATACCCATGTTCCCATTCAAAATGGCTGTTTTCGGCTGACCTCTAAAAAAAAAAAGAAAAAGCACATGGACCACTACGGGATGCTCTCTTGTTAAATATAATTTAGCTGTCCAATCAGAACTGGACTACAAAGAAAGTGGTCAACAGAAGGACCCTCAGTCAGGACAATGGGTACGTGTGAAACCAAATTCAAAAATACACACAAAAATAAATATCTTTAGTAGCCGTGCCATTTTTTAATGGCAAATGGTACATGATGATCTCGAAACAGCGCCATCTCCATTAGTTCCTTTTGGATATTCCACACTTTGCAACTTGGTGCTACAAAGAGACTTTGCACAGGTAATGTCTGGATTAAATACATGGCATACACAGTGTCGAATGTCTACGGAATTGTCTCTTATACAACTCTTATGAACAAACAAAATTCTCTTCCTTTTGTTTACAAGGGTGCAAGCTGGTCAGTGCTGCATAAGAAATTTCAACAAAGATACACGTCTCAACAACCTGCATTTTTCCTGCTTATGGAGTGATAAGCAATGGAAAACTTGTCACTTTTTTGGGCATGGTATCTCTCTCCTAGTGTCCGCAGCAATGTGACAAAGTGATCTGGTATACCACAAATGCAAGTATCGGTGTATAGGGTACATCACTAAATCAAGTAAATTCACATCCGAGCCTGGTAAAATCAGGGACAATGCAGTTATTACTCAAATGCTGTTTGACACTACAAACTACCTAAAAGTTATGTTAATGCCACACACACGACACACATGCAAGACACCCCCCAAATTCACTAATGGAACTGTCTCATAAGTTCATTTGTGCACAGTACATAAATTATTTTTAGGACTGCATCATACAATTTTTCATGGGACAAGCTGATTCTCAAAATTGAAAGGTTGAATAAAGCTGAGTAAAAGCTATTCTGTTAGACTAAATTTTTAAAAGCTTGGGTTAGTTCACTCAATCGAAATTGTCTATCCTATAATAGCAAATCCAACACCACAACATCCTCTGTAATAAATACAAATTTTTTTAATAATTCTATACTTTACATGATTATGGCCACTTCCCTTATTTAAAACAAAATCTGAATCCCGGACCCAAATGACAGACAGCCTGATAAACAGAATTGAAGATGCTTTACAAAATTTAACAAGACTTTAGAAATGGTCTTACGATATGGCCCTAAGTTTTAATAGCAAGCAATATTACAGGCATATTTGATAAATGCGTCGACTATTGCATAGGTTACATCGGTGCACTCTTCATTCCCAATATTATCTGTTCACACATTACAAATCGCTCAGGACAGAAGAGCTGAAAACCGAACGAAAGAGATAAGGGACACCTTGATGCAACACTGGATTTAAAACTTAGCCTGGCAACTACCACTGCAAATTTTTGCAATGGGTGTGAAAATGTTTGAAAATCACGGTGAAAAAATCAACCACTTTTGAGCAAAATCACCGAGCGGTGCGCTTGCTGGTGTTTAGTTCTCAAACAGGGAAGGCCCTTTGGTTCTTGTCAGAGGCGCCTTCATTTCACGAGGCAACAAATTCATGACTGGGGTATACTCCAAGTAGGCACCCGAGCAGACAGATAAAAAAATCAAGTCATAACTTAATTGTTTCTTTTACACTTTGTAACGGCATAAATGACTGTCAAATAATGAGGGAATCAGCTGCAAAAGAAAAGAACAGTTTGCATGCCTTGTTTTTTTTCACTGAGATGCTTGGCAGACAATATGGCTCCGCTGGCACAGCAAATTTTCTTGCTAAGCCAAAGTCAGATTGGAAGCTAGAACATTTTGGCTGCTCACTTGTTTTTGTTTAACCCCCCCCTCCCACCAAAATAGTTCTGCTTCCTGTAACATGGCATCTCAAAGCAGGGTAGATGAGCAGGAAAACCATTTTTTTTTCTTTTTTATATTGATTCAGAGTTCAGCTTTCTCTGAAAATCTTTAAGGTAACATGGCTAAAATATATTAGGTCAGGACACAGGTAGCAGAGCTGTTTTGCTCTTGCTGATGGCATGAGCAGCAGGATTTGACACTTGAGGCAAATTCGTCTGCTCAGACGCTTGGTGAAGTTTGCTCCAGGTTAACAGACACTTATGGCCTTTGCGAAAATACAAGCCTGCATCGGGAAATAAAACATGTACTTCAAGTTTGGTGTTTGTATGATGCGCACTTATCATCTACAACTAGACTTTGGTGTTGGTATTTAGCCTCTTGGAAGTATGTGCGATGCAAGGGGGAGAGTTGTTCCAGACAGTGGAACTTACTGACCCATAGATCATCACATTGCATTTCCATTTTTTTTCAATGACTTTTTTTTTATTGATGTGAGCCAACATCTTTGTACTTTTTTATTTGGCTAACCATCATGACTGTCGCTCAGAAAGGTAAAACGTGTTTTTGTCCGAATCTGTTGAGTCCCAATTAAAAGCACCAGAATTTCACACTCAATAAATTCATAAAGACCCTGTAATCAATCCCCATGGACCGTATCCAACATACTTCACAAAAGGCTAGTAAGAGAAACTTGGGCTGAGTTATCTTATGTCCTCTTTCTTGCACCAGTGCATGTCGTCAGTCCGGGGCTTGATGCCGGTCAGCCTCTCGATGATGCCTTCCATGGCTGGCCAGAAGCCCAGCTTCTCCAGGGGGTAGTCCAGCCAGCCTGTGGTGATGCAGAAGTACGTCTCGTGGGGTGCCACGTGGTGGACGCGGTGGTGCTTGCGGGGCAGGATCAGGTGCAGGTCCTGCAGCAGGGTGACGGCCCGGGGCAGGCCAAAATAGGTGTGGGACCACTTGTGGATCTGGTTGGTCACCATGACGAAGAAGCCCAAGGTCAGCATGAAGGACTCAAACACCACGGTAGCCTGGACCTCGGCCGGGCCGAGGGTGACAAACTTGTAGGCCGAGTAGGAGAAGAAGGGGATAACCAACATGAAGTTGTCCCCGTTGACCTCGATGAAGTCGTGGCGACAGACTGCCGTGGGGTCAATGTGGTGCTCTCGAAAAGGCCTGATGAAAGCCTGGCAAAGCCAAAAAAGGGAAACACAAATGCATGTATATATAAAACCAGTTAATATAACCAGTCAATATAACCAATCACTTGTGATAGATCAAAAAAGTAGGCGAGCCCGACGATTCAATTTTAGAACAAAGCCCCTTTTACCCCCCGGTCCCTTTATCCAGCCTTCAGCTTTCTGAAACCCTTCTTTTTGTCCTTCTGCATTCATCCGTCCTGGCTTGAATCGTTGCTTGCTCATTTGTCTCTGTCAAGTTGTCATTTTGCCTTTGTGACAGATTCTGCTGGGATCGAAACATCAGGCACTCCAACTTTTTGGATTTGTATTTCAGGTCACGGTAGTCAGCAGTTCGCAGCAGGTTTTGTGTTACATCTGTGCTTGGATGCACGCTTTTTCAAAATGATATTTTTTTCGTATAATGTGTAACTTTGCTGGAAAAAATATGACATTATTATGGATCAGTTCTGGCAAAGTTCTTTCCTTGTTTTTCTTCTATTGAGACACTGCATTTATATAGTCAAGCAACGACTCGCTCAGCTGATTCATGCTGCACTTTACCACTCAAAACAATGTTTCCCAATTTGGGAAACGTGATGTGCTTTCCTATGGTGCTCACTGAGCAGTGAAGATCACACTAGCTCCACAAGAAAGTGCACTAGTACACTGATATTCTACATGTGCCTGCCAGGCAATTTAGGAAGTGTGTTTCAAACACTGGCAAAAGTATTATTTAGTGTGCGTTCATGTAGCAACATTTGAAAGGCAGCCCCACTTTGCTCTTTAAAAAACCGAGAACTTTGTCGTGCACTTACCTTTCCAAACACGGGCATGTCCACAGATCCGTAGGAGTCAGAGAGCCAGTGAACCAATCCAGACGCAAAATCTGAGACAAGAATGGCCAGGACTGGAGGGGAAAAAACGGACAAATCAGGCAACGTTTCTTGCTATCTGGACAAAATAACAACACTGTCATCAAGGGTCATGTTACCACGCATAGAACTCAGGGTAGCCAACTTGTACTTTCAAAATGAGACACATGCATGACAGATTATGCTCACACTAACACGCCCAAGTGAGATTTCTCATACTAAAACATTAAATGTATAAAGAGAAAACTTAAAAAAAAAATGTAACCATCCTATACTAATATGGCATGTTCTTAAGTATTAATGCAAGGAAAACATTTGTAAGCAGGTTTCTGGTAAAGAATGAACAATCTCATTGGCTGTTTTCGCATTGGAAGTAACGTCGCTATGTGTTGCTTTAGGTGTACGGTATGAGTGGTCTTCCAACGCCAAGGCCATTAATATTCTCATACTCAAATCTCACTTAAATGTTGGCAACCTTAAAACTTTCCTTGCACCCATTGATTTGCTTACTTCTGTATTTCCCATTCATGCCATTATCTAAAGAATAACACTACAGACAGTTATGACGCTGCATGGCATTTCTTACGTTTTTTTTCTCTGAATCTGAATCCACGCCACATGTGAAGTGACGGTTGATTTAGAGAATTTAAAAAGCAGCAAAGCTGCAATTTAAAAGCCCTATCCACTTATCATCCCAGTCCTCTGCAGATTTCTGACCAAAGTGCCAATTCTTCCAAGTTTGTTGCCGAGCAATATGCACAATGCATATACGCACTAAATCTTTCGAATTTTTTTGTCAGAAAGACGGTCAGGAGCCTCTACCTTTCATTGAGCACTCTTCCCACTATGAAGTGCAGGACTGAATGTTATTTAGGTTTTCTGTACTTACTTGAACTGGCAAGGTGCCATTTCCAGTTCTGAATATCAAAGTTTCGAAGAATGTGGTAAGCATTGAACACGGTGAGGCACACAGCGACTGTCACACAGATGTACTCTTGCACTCGCTTCCCTGAAATTCAGAAACAAATGTCACCGCCTGGTTAATATCAGCCAACAGTTAATTACTATTGAGGAACCCAATAGTCTCAGGCCTATTGTACAATGGTAAGGATTGCCATGAACCCGGTCACTTGCGGGTTGGCTGTTAATGATTAGACCATCCACAGAACTCCAGGTTTGTCATTAGCCAGGTTTCCACAAAATCAACCATTGGGTAGCAGGACGTTGTTGCAAACGTTTTTGTAAAACTGGAATTGTTTTGGCCTATTTTCCTGGGTCCAAGTGGTAAACACCACTTTTGTGTCAATGGAGCAGTTCTTCTATACACATCCACCACAGAATCCATGCTGTCCCATGCATAAACATTATATGTACATACTATGACGGCAAAAATGCCACCTTTCTACGAAGTTCATTGGAGAGCGACATAACAATGACACCTGTATTTCAAAGGGTAAACTAGTAAGTCTGGTCCATGCCCATTTGGCTCATCAGGCCAGTGATTAACTCCGGTTTCCTTGGCATGAATGGACTGAGAATAGTTCTATTCTTCCTGGGTGGGATGCCAGTTCATCACAGGTTGCTTCCCAGCTAATGCTGGAACCCATTTATACTCATGGGTGGAGAGAGGCAAGCAAGAGTGACAACATACTGCCAGCCGCTGGATTCGAACCTCCAACCTTAAGATTGAAAGCCCCTGACCCCAACCAACTTGGCCACATGCCCCCCTTTCACCCACAGATGAAAGCTGAGCTATGATTGGTCATTGGAATGGAAGCAAATTGGGCCAATCACAGTGCAACTTTCATCTGTGGGTGACAGGAAAAAAAAAGAAAAAGATAGGAACTGGGTGTTGCGATTGGTCAAGCTATCACACAGCTGACAGTTTATTGGAGAGTAAGCCTACAAACTGCTGATTTTCTGTGGTGTGGATGGGCAAATTGCTCAAGAATTTCACCATTTTAAGAGGATATAAGGTTAATAAATCTCCCCATCAGACATCCAACTTCACCAAGAAGGCATGTATGAAATTTGGTTGCACAAATAGCTGTGATAGAAGAGTACCTTGGCACAATGAAAACAACCAAAATGGGTTTATGGGAGTTTGTACATGGCTATCTGTAAGGTTTGTAGAAACCTTACAGTTCTGGAAGTATCTGAGAGGATGGACGATTGGCTGGTTCTCTATTTACCATGGAGTACCCTAAATTCGCACACACAAATATTCACGCATCCAACTTTCTCGTCGTAAAACTCTTCATTGAAAGTATGCACCAATGCCAATTTACTATCAATGATCGATGGTCACTTCGGCACAGCATTTTGCTTTCTACAGCTATGTGCCAATTAAAAGCTTTTCCGGCGAGAATTCGGGAAAAATGTTTGTGGAGCATATTGTTCTACTTTACAGAGTAAAGACAAAAATTAACTAGTTGAAATTGTCTAGAAAATGGATAAATGATCACTGTTCGCTCACGATCGGTGTTGAACGTCTGACACAAGCGGAGATGACAACTTCCGTCAACTTTTGCCAACTACTGAGGGTGTTATCAAACAAACGAAGCCTGAAAAAGCACTGCGCACCATATATTATGAGATTTCAATTGCTGACAATGGGCACAGATTTGGCAGCATTGTATTTTGCAATTTTTTTTCCAGAAACACACCTACAAAGAATAATATCCAGATCAATTACTCACATTAATGCTTACAGGACTTATTTGAAAGAACAATAATTCATGCCTCACTGTAACTTGAAAAAAAAATTGACAAAAATTAAGAACGAGGAGAACAAAAAAGAGAAAGGATGGAAAACTGAGTTATGGCAAATAAAAGTTTTTTCCCTCAAACTGCATTAATGCACCAAAGCATTTAATGTAAAAAATAATTCCTCATTCAAGAGACAATAACTGGCAAATTTTTCAGAAGTAGGGTAAGCCCTATTACCAACACCCCGTAAAATGATGTTTGAACGTATGTGTGCGAATTTTGTTGACGTCGTAAGTTTT